AGCTGACATCTTTGGGAACCAGAACACTAGCCAGTAGAGGACAAGTGCTTACAATCTAATCAGTCTGCCTGTTCATTTTTCTTTTTCCAGTATTGGAGGCTAAACTAAAGATCTTCTCACCAAGGTCTACATTCCCCACCCTTTTTTACTTTTTATTGTGAGACACTGTCTCTCTCAGTCACTTAGGTTGAACTCAAGTTTGTGATCATCTTGCCTCAGCCTCTTAGAATGCTGGGATGATCCCTGAACCTGAGTTCAGTCTGCCTTTCTCATTCTGTGTGTGTTCTATAGCCTGGTCTACTGCTAAGGATAAGTCATTATAGCAAATAAAAGAAACCTAATACATTTATATCAATAGATTATTTTATATAAGTTCTATGAAGAGTATTCTAAGAGGTAACTAATTTGGGAAGCAAAATAATTTATTAAATTGGAAATTTCAACAAATGATTTTGTGGACTGCTGTTAGGGACTTGCAGGGAGATCCAAAATTTACTGTCTAATGGACACTGACATTTATACTATTTGAATACGTTCTTTGGAAGTAATGTTAAACATATTTCTTATTTATTAATCAATGCTCAGATACTTGTAATAATGAGTAAAGAACATAAAGGGTGTTGGAAAACATTATAAGAAAAATAAATTCAGTCTGCCTATTGCTACATATATGTAAGTCATTGCAAGGTATAACGTCATCAGCTAGAGGCTTTCACAAGTATCTCAAGACTTGTTGGTATTGCTATGATCGGTATGGTGGGAGTGTGTGCCCCAAGCAGGTTTATGTGTTGGGATGTTGGTCAACAGGGTGTCAATGTTAAGAGGTGGTGGGTCTTTACAAGTTGGGGCCTGGAAGGAGGTCCTTACTGACTCTTCCCCATGCTCTTTGCTTCCAGTCTGGCAAAGTGATCTCTTCCTGCCCTATGCTTCCACGACCCTGAGGTCCTCACCAGAGCTGGTTATATGGTTCAGACTTTCCACCTCTTTACATATGCCCAGCTTCAAGTATTTCACTGTAATGATGAAAAACTAACACAGGCATTTTCAGAGCATTGAAAGATCAGAAACCTCTGAAAACACTCATTACTTCTAAGAATGATGTCAAAGGACAACATTTAGGAAAAAACAGGCAAAAGTTTAGTAATAAATAAATTATCAGCACCACCTTAAAGAGTGGAATTTTAAAAAGCAAGTCCCTTAAATAAAGAACTTCATTTGTCAAAAAGTTTATCATTAGTTTTGGCATTTACGTACAGTTATTATAAGAGTTATATACAGTACAGAAAAATGTAAAGCCAAAAATGACTTCAAAGAGGGAGAAAAAGATAACATTTCCATCCTAGTGGATAAATCTAGAGATAAGCACTTACCATCCTATTCCAAAGGAAAGTGGTACTTGGGCAGAACCTTGGAAAGGGGATGATAAGGTACTAGGAGAAGAGGTGGAAAGGGATCCCAGCTACAGCACGCAGCTGCACAGGCTCAGGAGAACACAAGGGCAGCAGCTCGGATGGGATGTGGCGGTGGGAAGGTCTGTATGTGGAAGCAGTGGGAGAGGAATGCAGGCTGGCTCATGAAGGCCTCTTTATGTCATGTAGAGACCCTGAATTTCATCCTCAGTGCTCTGAAGACCCAGCAAAGTGTTCAAGAGCAATGGTAACGCAAACGTGCTTCTACAAAATGCAAGATTATAATAAGCAAGTGCTGTAGTCTGTTCCATCTCTAATGGTCCGTGATCCTACAAATAGCAAAGTCCTAAATGAGAGGAGACAGAATGAAAAACTGGAACCGGATATGAGAATATTTCAGCAGATATTCGTGGGTGGCTGTGCAGTACTGAGCCCACCATGGATAGGTGCTGCAGTGCAGATAGCTGGCACAGAATGGGAGAGAGGACGGCTTTGTGGACAGTGCAAGTTCACTTTCACATGAGATTTGGTATTCTGCATGAAACACCACTGCTAACAGCTGACAGCCTTAAAACTTCCATTCACACTGGCAAGTAAAGGATGGCTGAATCCTCCAGATTTCCATGGTAGAGGGACCAAAAAATGCTACTTCCAAAAAGACAAGGGAAAAAACCTACTCCCAGAACTACCTAATGGTGAAGTAATGTCAGAACTCCTTCATCCTAATCTACTTCATTACACTTTTCATTCCCATTTCATTATTTTAGGCTTAACACTAATGTCACTTTGGTGATTAGTGATCTATCGGATGTTTTAATCTGGCCTATCAAGTCTATGACTTATAGCTAAATTACAATTATCTTTATCTAATCCTTTCATAGCTGTGTTCTCTCTAAAGCAAGCTTTTGGCGCCCTAGTCCCTACCTGAATCCTGGCCCTAGTATTTTAGAGGTCACACACAGAGAGAGCCCCAGCTCCATTATAAACATACAGAGCACTAACTGTATCTTAAGGATAGTGGAAGTGTATGTTCAAAGTAACTTTACATTTCCTTCAGAGAGGAAAAAGAGACACTGATGGGACTGTGATGTAAGTGTAATGAGTGATTTAAATGGAAGTCCACTACTGTTTTACAGAGTCCAACTTCCTAAGGACCCTGAAGAGAAAATATGGATTAGAAACTGTGGCTCATCTCAGTGTTGGGAGGAGCACTCGGGCTGAGGAAGTGCATCCCTCACTGGGGAGGTCAGGCTGAAGCAGGAAATAGTTAAACTCACCTCTGACCGAGAAGGACATGACTGCACCACAGCAGTGGGCGAGGAGGATGGCTAAGAGGTATGGAGATGGATGAGTCATCACATGAGCTGGGATTAATTAAATAGATTTCAGTCAAGTCATTAAGCAAGAATTCACATACAGGGAGCACACTGCCCCCCAGCAATGGCGTGCATTAATCAGAGAGCTTCCTTCTTGCAGCTGTTTCTGACTTGGAAAGTCCTCCCTTTTCTTGTAGCCTATGCCACTTCTCTTGGAAGCTTACACACCTTGTATTTTCCTAGCAAAAACTAAAGCAAAACAAAACCAACATCCATTCCAGGGAAAATATTTAAGGTCATGGAGAATAGGAAACACCAAAATTAGGATACTGATTTATTCAACTAGGAAGCATTTGTGCTTTGAAGGCTGGGGAGGGAAGCCAAGGCTTGTAACTTCAGCTGTAATGTTAATTTTTTTGGTTTTTTGTTTTTAAGCTAGATGTTAGGTACAGTGGTATCTGGGCTATTTTATAATTTTTGGGAAGAAATGTCTGAAAGGAAAAAGACGGGAAAGGTTATTTTGTCTATATCCCTGCTTCTACTTGGGAATAAACAGGGGCCTCTCCTACTATCCTAATTTTATGATAAATTGAAAACTGCTCATAGACAAGAATCTGCCTACTCTCTCCTCTGAGGTTAATGCTCACAAATCAATTATTTGTTTGTTTTAAAGCAAATGTTCAAGTGACACCTATAAAGTTGAATCAACTTCAGTGACTCCATCTATGGGTGGAACTAGTTGCACTGAACTGACTTAAAGATGCCCTTCCTGTTTTGTTGATATTATAACATGACATATATTTGAGTGACACAGCAGGAGCAGAGGTCGCAGCCCTGATGTGCTCATTCAGCTCTGCGGTCCACATGCTGCTGCTGGGGAACTGGGTGACTCCAGGCTTTTTCTAACTTCCTGACTAATCCTCTTCTTCACTGAGGCCCTAGGATCACTACATTTCTTATTTCCTCCCCAACCACACTGCACAAAGAGAAAAGATAGAAGCCATGAGTCATCTTGTTATAAAATATACAAATAGCTAACGTCAGAAATGAAATAGGAAAGGGTGGGTTTAATGGTGAGAATTAGACTTACAAATTATCTTTCCACTTGGGATTCCCTTCACCAAGAGACAGGCTGGCACTGTGTGGATGCATGGCAGCAACAAGGTCATCCTGCTTGAATTAAAATCCTTGCTCCACCATTTCCCAGCTATGTGATCTTCATTAAATTATTTAACTTCCTGGTGAAATTTAGACAGTAAAAGTAGCTGCCTTTTGAAGTTAAGACAAAAATTAAATGAAAATGCTTGGCACACTACCTAACATGTAGCAAGAACTTTGGCAATTATTATACACATTCATTTTAATTTTTCTTCCAGCTCTTCTAACTTTAATAAGCAAATACTTTAACAGTTGATAGGTATTTGAGATAGCCTGTATCCAGGAAAAACCAGCTTCTGGGCAAAAATGATATCTGGTGAGAGTGGCCTCAATACCTGAAAAAGACATTTTCCTGAAAACAGTGAATTCCTCTATCTACTCCCAGCTTCCTATAGGTGCCAACAATCTGCTCTGGAAAGAAAACAGGAGTCGCTAAACTGGTTGGTAGCTCAGTTTGTTTTTATTTCATATTCAATGCTAGCTTCTTATGAGCAACTGAAAAACTCCATATGACAGAGTTCAAGTTCCCTCCTTCCAGACTGACTGGTTACTGTTTCATGAGGACAAAATGGGGGGGGGGGGGGAGGATAAAGGAGGCCAAGAGGATTGCTGGCAAGTGCTAAGGTGTGCTGAGCAGCTCAATTATGGCATCCCCAGGTTTAAGACACCTTCGTCAGCGGGCATGTGTGAATTGTTAGAATTATGAGCTGCTAGAAAAAGGCTGGGGAAGAAAGTGATTCCAAAGAGCCAGAAAGCCTGGTAGAAGACCAGAGCTGACCTCAGAGGATTTCAGCCTGGAGCAGCCAAGGAAACACTTACCTGGAAGTGGAAGAAGCCTGATCTAAAGAGGAAACCAAGTTTTAAACACATCCATAGACAAGCACATTGCTTGGATGAACTGTGTTCCTTTCCATCAAGCTTAGAAATAACACTATTTTTGACTCCCTCTCTGCCAACTCTCCTCTCTTCCACTCAAACTGGCTCCAGCACCTCCTGGTGACTTTTTTTTTTAAGGACTCTTTATTGGCTCCAAATGGAGGAAGGGGTGGGCAGGAGATGATTGGCTAAGGAAGAGCAGCACAGCCCTGCTCTTACCCCTCCCACACCCTCCCGGAGGAACAGCTGGAATGAGAAGAGGGAGGGGAGGCTGCGATTGGCTGACAGTCAGTGGCAGGGTGTGGTGAGGCAGCACAGATGAGGCATTTACCTGTCCAGGTGAGTCAGGAGGAGGTCAGAAGGAGAGGCAAACAGTGGGAGGCCGTGGAAGTAGCCTCTGTTCACATCTCTGCCCTTTGAAAGAAAAGGGTTCTCCTTTCTTCTCTTCGGCCCCAGCCCAGTGAAGGTGAGTTCATCATTAATCCACTATTATTTACTCAGTAGCAAGAGAAGGGACTTCAGAGAAAGTCATAGCTGCAGGGTTTTGGGAGAAGGGGGTGAGCGGTCCTCTATACCCCAGCTAATGTCTTACAATTCTCTGCACCCAGCCTGGGATCAGAGGAGTACGGTAGCTTTCTGAGACTAGAGACCAGAGTGGGAAACTCTCATTTACTTATTATATAGGTTGGGCTAACATATTGTACAAACAAGGAAAGAAAATAGGCTTGTTTTTGTAAATTTCCATCTCTGATCAATTGAGATTGAGTTGTGATTTTGAAAGAGAATCATTGGCATGTAAGTTCTCAAAGTGTGAGATCACTCAGGTGAGTAGGGTGTCTTGGTTTTTCTCCCAGGACTTTATCAACCCAGTGTCTATCTTTATTTAAATAAACGGTGCAGTGCATGCATGTTTGATGGTGGTAGTTAATAATAGCATTCTCTGTGGTCAGGTGTGAACCGTTCTGAGTTGTTTGTAAGGGGAGCTGAGATTTGGGCATGTCGGGAAAATTCCATCCTTATGGTACCAGCTCATTTCTGGAAAAAACCAGATAGTCTAGCTGCAAAATTGAGTTTATTTGGGTTCAACCATTGATTTTCTGACTGCCTGTTAATAGATCCAAATACACTGGGGCTGGGGATTTAGCTCAGCGGCATAAGCACCTGCCTTGCAAGCAGGCAATCGTGAGTTCGATCACCGGTACTGATAAAAAGGAAAAAGAAAAAAAAAAAAAAAAATAGGTCCAGACACTGGGAAACAGCAAGCCACCTGGCTGTGTAGGGCCTCACCCACATTACTATCTCACAGCAGCATGTCTGTGCTAGTGAGAGTGCCAAGGGCTCAAGCCAAGTTGGTGTGGCTCAGAACACAGAGGAGCCCTGCACCAGGGACTGGGTTCATTCTGTGGGCCTCAGAGTATCCCAGTGGCAGTTTGTGTGACAGGCATACCTGCCAAGAAAGCTGTAGGTAGAAGCTGAGTCAGAGTATCAGCTCTCTGTTATCTGTCTTGGAGATGAAAACTCTTCTTTTCCTCTTGGTGCAGAGAAGAGAGAAGTGGGTATTCTTTGGGGCCAGACTCTTAAGGCCTGGCTTCCTCATCCCTGAAAGGACGTTTGGGTTTCTAGTCCTAGCAAATGAAAATCTAGTCCATGCTAAACAACCAGTCCACCATGTTCACTGTCGGAGACGTGCCAGAGACTATAGACTTGCCAGCAGTGAGCATCACCTGCAGTACCTTCGCAAGGCTTCTCTGCAAGAAGGTATCTCTGTGTGGCCCACACACACACACACACACACACACAGAAATGTGCCTGTGTGCCCATGAGGAAGAAAGTACACACAGTACACATTTCAGTCTTGCTGGCACTGGACATTGTAAGCCTAAGGCACATTTCTGAGTAATAAACAAAAAAAGGTCTGAGACTAATAGACAGTGTCTCTGACTGCCAAGAATAGGACTGAGCTCTTGCAGAGGATGGGCCCATGCTCATGGGAGAAGGTGATAAGGGAGGCCTGGGCCTGGTAAGAACAATGTGGGATGGGACCAGAGCCTCCATACACACACACTGCACATGCCAGAATGCCACATGCAGCTTATTTACTCTTCTCTGGACACCTGGCTACTTCAGCAGAATGGTGAACATTCCCTGGGTCTTCCAGTGAGAAGCCCGACTATTGACTGCATATTTTTTAAGCCATTCCCTCGCCTTCATAAGTCTCAAAAAGAGATCAAAGGTGAAAAGATACCAAACTCTTGCCTTGACTATTTTGCTGGTTTCTCTTATTTCTTATCAGGAAGAATAGGAATACCTCTGGTTTCGATGGCTGCCTGATAGAGCCTCCAAGTTTCAAGGTTGTAAAATTGGCAGAAGGAAATGCAGCATTAGGCTGGGTGAAGCTGAAAGTGGAGAGAAGAAAAATAATTTTTACTGTTCCAATTTTTTGAACCATAAAACTAGGTGTAGAGATAAGGTAGCAGCGCCCAGGGCTCACTCAGCTGTGGTTTTAGGACCAGTTTCATCTCTGCAGTGACTATGTGGTGCCCGGGACCTGATCTGCATGGCAGTTGGTACCACTTCTTTACCCTGGAAACATGTATCTGGTGTTGGGGCAATAAACTGTCTGGAAGTACAGTGCTCTGGGTTTAAGGGGAATGCAGAGTTTTAGGTATGAAATGGAGACCAAAGGGTGACCTTGAGGATTTTCTTATTTAATCAGGAGTAGCCAATGACCCTTCACTAGGTACATACTGTCTGGCATCTTGGCAGTGAGTGAAGTGTCCCTTAGAGGGGCCCAGATGCTTAGGCTGCCCTTTACATGCAGGTACAGGTCAGTCTTGACTTCCCCTAGGAAGGGGTGGTGGGAAGTGCCCCAGCTTGCTCATCTGTACAATGAAGAAAATGTTACTCTGCCCGATGCCACGTGAACCTGCAAATCTGATTAGATATGTGAGAGCATGTTGTAAGCAACAGCATGCCGTGACCTTGTGAAGTGGCTATTTCTGTTGTCTGTGTCTGTGATGCTGCTTCAGGCTCTGGGATCAGGGTGTGGAGGGCTTCTCTGGGAGGAAGAAAAGGTTACAACCACTGCACAGCACAAGACATATGTGGAACACCAGAGCTAACTTTCTCTGAAAGTAAGAGGTAGCATCTGTTCAGCTATTTGGAGCAAACATTATATTAACTACAGAAAATCACTTGAAATAGTTATCACCCTAATTGCACATATAAGAAAAATGGAGCCAAAACTAGACCCTCAGATCCATGCCAACGTTTGCAAAATGGTGCCTTTGTCTTACCCTCAGCATTGTTAGGTCCCTGTAAATATTAATTTACTTAAAAACATTGCCCAGATTCTACTCAGCCATATATTCTCAGGAAACAAAGTATTTAAGAAAAAGCTTACATTAGCAGGACAGAAGCCAAGAAGAAGCCTTTCAACAGCTCAACCCAGTGGACAGTAGAGCAGACGAGGTTATTCAACCAGCACAGCATTTTCTGAGAGCATTCTGTGTGCCTTATCTTAAGAGAAATAGATCCCCTTGGCTGTGATGGCCTCAGACTACTAGAACTTAAGGAATGGGCTGGTGTTCTCTGAACCTGGACAGGCACTAAAGAGTGCATAGTGGAGATGACCAGACTTCATCCACTTGATTCCTCCTCGTGCTCCCATTTCTTTAATGTTCTCCATACCGAGGAACTGACCTCATGAAGAAGTCCTGTGAGCTATCTCACCAGTGTTCATTTCTCTTTGGGCTTCCTTAGAATCTCCATGCCTCTGGTCCCTTTCTTATCTCACGGACACTTATAAAAACCATACATGTTTGGCTCATTTGGGATCTTGCCTTTTCTCTCCCCAGTACCCTTCCCTTCTTTCTCTCTGCCCCATTTAGGGGGTCCTTGCCAACTGGAAGAGGGGCTCTGTGAAGCCATATACTTGCCAGCTTACAGGGTTGGAAGGCTGACTTATCAACCTAGCCCCAACCTGATGGTGGCATGGAAGCATTTGTTGGCAGAGAGCAAAGGGATATCTGCCATGGTATCCAAAACCCAAGTCTCCAGATGTCAGGCAGACATTGTACCTTGTACTGGGAGACAGCAGAGAGTTAAAATATAGCATGGCATTATGGGAAAAATAGATTCAGGATCAGATAAATTTTATTCTAACTCTCCCCCAGTCTTCCGTTTCACCTTGAAACCATCTTTGGATCATAATTTCTTCAGAATTCCATTGCACATACATGAGTCACCTTTGGCCAGCTCATCTGTGGTGCAGTCTTTCCCATAAGGACACACATGAAAGTCCATGGGGCTTTTGATGGAGAAGCACCCACGGTACTTCTGATACCACTATTGTCGCAGTGAATTTGAATTGTGTTTCCCTCCTAAGGATTTCAAATTGGAAGGAAGCTACATAGGACATTTCTCTTGTCCATCTGACACAGGTTAGGGAGCTTTGCTGGGGACAAGAGTGACAGCATAGGGAATGACACCCAGGAAGGTGGGAAATTGGGTTCACATCAGCCTCTGTGGGTACCATGTGTATGTCTCTTAGGTCACTGATGATGACCACTGTACTGGAGATTGTGATGGTGTTGAATATGCTGACTATGGTAGCAGCTGGTAATTACTAGGTCGTGAGCAGTGCAAAGTGTTTCACATGGAGTATTGCATTATATAACAGTCTCACAGGGGGACTCTCACGGAGTAGGTATCACGAGGGCATATATGGGTATCACAGTATGCATATACTGTGCATATTACCCCTATAAGAACCCTGTGAATTGGGTGTATGATCCCCATTTTAAATCCTAGGAGACTGATACCTACACCAATTAAATAATTTGACCAAGGTCACATGGCTTTAATAGAATATCCACATCTGTGTGGCTCAAGCCTATAGCCTCTCATTTAACTAGAACCCTTCCTTTCTAAATTCTTGTTTCTCTTGGTTTAGGGAATGTGTTTGGTCCTGGAGAGATCTTATCTTTTTCTTATGACAAGGACAACTTTAGATATTCCTTAAGTGTTTGAGTATTTCCTACCAACTAAACTGTGCTAGCTGTTCTTTCATTTAATCCTGACATTAACTCTATGTAATGAGGAAAAGCAGGCTTGATTCAAGTCAAATAATATAAATGGATCAGCATTGTTGAATCTAGACCCAAATATCGCAGACCCCATGCTGTCAGCCCCTGTAATAGCTATTGTTTATAGTAGGAAAAGAGTTCTGGTTCAAGGAAAAGAGGAACTAAGGAAAGCAGTGTGAGTTACTTTCCAGCTGGACTGCCTCTGTGAACCTAAGACTCTGCCTTCTGCACATGTTTGTGCCAGTCTGTGTCCTTCCTGCAGGCTGGAGGTGGTGTTCAGGTCATGGCTGATCACGGTCCCCTTCCAGCTCTCTGCTTGCTTGGTGTCTTTGCCACCGTGCTGCCCCAGGACTTGGGCAGAGCCTTGCACAAGCCTGCCTTACACATGGCTTCAATTCTTCTCTTTTCAGGCCCAGCTTGGGATACTCTCCGCTTCCCTTCGCTTCCCCTCTGGGAGCCCCTTTCACCACTCCTGCACCTTGCTTCGGGCGATGCCTGAGAGGGAGCTGTGGCCAGAAGGGCCTGGCTCGGAACCTGGGACCCACATCGGCAGCTGTGACAGCATGACGAGCACCACCTCCAGCCGCTCTGGATCTGTATGTACTCTCTCCTGCACCCTGGCCACTCTGCACGCCTGTTTCCAGCTGTGGCTCCCTGCACCTTCTCTTTCATCTCCCTCCTCTGCCAGTGAATCACAGCATTTAGTGGATGCTCTCTGCCTCTGAGTCACCCTCACTTCTGTTGGGAGTGGGGTGGGGCAGCCTCAGAGAGGAAACAATAGGACTCATAAGACTTTTCCCTCCTGCTTGCTTCAGGTGGAGGTACTGAGCTGAGCAGAAAGGGTAGGCCTGTGAAGTGAGCTCATGGTGGAAAAGAAAATGTTGTTTTAGCACGTGGACTTTTGAAGCTCTCTACAGTGGGTGGCATTACTTCAGACTTTTCCAAAGATCAAAGCAAGAAAAGTAATTAGCAGCCTGAGTTCTGGAGCCACACAGATGTGGATATTCTATTAAAGCCATGTGACCTTGGTCAAATTATTTAATTGGTGTAGTATCAGTCTCCTAGGATTTAAAATGGGGATCATACACCCAATTCATAGGGTTCTTATAGGGATAATATGCACAGTATATAAAACACTGAACATTTCCTGGTATACAGAAAAGAAATAGCCCATCTAGGAGCAGAGTCTGAGAAACCGAAGTCAAGTTGTTTATTTGTGAATAATATGGAATAAATGAATTTTTCTGGACACAAATTTAAATCTTGGTTATTGTTAAGATTAGCATGAAAGTCAATCTGCCCCTCATCCAAAAGCAAACATTTCTGCATTGTTTATCCTTGTAACATACATAATAACCCCAGAGAATTTAACCTTTACCATTCTATATTCTATAAAGATATGACAAGGTAAGGTTTATGAGGGTCTCTACTGAATGTCAAAGGTGTTTAATATGCTTAATGGATTTGGATATTTAAAAATGGAGGTGAAAAAGCAGCATACACAAAGTCAAAATACAGATGGTCTGTGCAGAATCTCCTCACGGCCCGATAGGATGGGGACACAGAGACGGCATCCTGTTTCTAGTTAGGATGAGGCCAGTATGCATAGGCTCGTCTTGTTGGACACAGAATGTGAAGAGATTAAAGACTTTCAAAGTGAATGATTCACAAAGGAGAAATTAGAATAGGCTTATTTTGGGCCTGGCTATTCCAACAGCACGAGGGCAATGAAGATTGGTGTTCAAGGAACTCGGAGAGCTATATTTGAAGCTACCCCTGACATATAGGCTGTAGTCATTTATTGTCCAGGGAACTTTTGAAAGGCAAAGGCAACTAGAAAAGTGTTACTTGGGGACTGGGGATTTAGCTCAGTGGCATAAGCGCCTGCCTTGCAAGCAGGCAGTCGTGAGTTCAATCCCTGGTACCGATAAAAATGAAAAAGACAAAAAAAAAAAAAAAAGAAAGAAAGAAAAGTGTTACTTAACAACTACCATCCCTCCCCCTGGGATTTTATTACGGCCATCTCAAATTTTTCCCTTGCCATCTGAATGGATCTGGAGAATATACAACTCTAAAGTGTTCCAAATATCAGGAAAAGCCACAGGCTAGGTTTCTTGTATTCTCATTTGTCTTTTGGTGTTTGCTTCAGCCTCAGTCTTACTGGAATAATAGGGCATGGGCAAAACTATCAGAGGTGGCCATAGTATCTTCCAAATATCCCTTTGTGCTTTCTCATAATGAAAATGATCTGCTTTAATGTGTAGCTCATATTTAGTATTAAGTTGCTTTTCCCACCAACCAAACTAACCAGTTTCTCCACCCTCACCCCTGAAGTTAATATTTGCTTAAGAAAGGCACACTTACTTGAATGTTAGCCAGAGCCAAATGCCATCAAATAAGTAAATACACAAGGGAGAAAAACCTTGCATGGAATGTGTTTCAAAGTGTAAATTGTTAAGCAAGTTTATCTGTGACTAGTCACGCTGCTGTTCTCATTGGCTGCATCTCCTATTTGTCTTTGTATTGACCTTGACATACCAGATCAAGTATGCAGAAGTACTTTGAAAAGTTCAAGTCATACCATTCAAGTTTCAGGACAAATCATTTTGTTGTCCACATAATTCAGTTAAACAGAAGACCCACATAGTGAAATATCTGACAAGGATCAGGCAGAATTGGAATTAGAACTTGGTCTTCTGATTTGTGTGCCCTTAAGCTTTCTACCCAGGACTGAGCAGGAGAAAGACCCCCTGCTGCCTACCTTTTCCCCCACCAGAGGTGGATGCTGGCAAAGTCCCCACTCTGACCTTCTCTTCTCGCCCTGGTGCCTAGTTTCGGGAAGAAACAGGTTTGCACGCGTGGCACCAAGGAAAGGTTTCCAGCACTCTCTCCTCACAATAGGATGGCTCTCAGGCTCCAATAGTTTCTCCAAAGAGAGCTCTCTCTCACAACTCCTTATCCCCACAGAGTGACAACAGCTACGACTTCCTGTCGGCTGAAGAGAAGGAGTGTCTGCTCTTCTTAGAGGAGACCATTGGCTCCCTGGATGCTGAGGCCGACAGTGTTCTGTCCACTGACGAGTCTGAGCCAGCAACAACTCCTCGCAGTTTCAGAGCACCTCCCTTCACTCCACTGGCTCCCCACGGTAAGACAGACTGGGAGCAACACCCCAAAAATCAGTGCCTCCTTTCGGCCACTTTCTACCTTGCCTGCCTCTGTTCCAAGGGTCACAGGCACAAGTGGGATCCATACTCCTCACCACCTCCAGACCCTATCCGTATGGGACAGGGAAGGAGGGAACACCAAGAGGCCAGCACCTCTGTCTTCCTAGGAAGTGGAAGAGGCCTGGAGGAAAAGGAGTTTGAACAGCTCCACTCTCCCAGAAAGAAATCCTGAAGAGATTTGAGGCAGCAGGTTGGGGCAGGGGCAGAGAGGCCTGGAGAAACAGAGACAGTCTGGAAGCTAATATGTATGACCCAGAAAACAAGCCTACAGGAGGAAGAAGGAAGGGTTTCCCAGATGCAGCAGGTGACACTATGAGAAAAGCTAGAGAGCCAGAGATATTCAGGCCCAGAAGGGGACATAATACCTAGACATACATCCCAGGGTGTGGAAAAACCTTACTTTTGAGGACAGTCCCAGTGTATCAGGATTACAATTCTTAATTCATCCATTTAGAAAATCTTTATTGGCAAAGCATTAGACCCTCCTTGGAGATAGAGTAGAAAAGAGGACATGGTGCTAACCTGCCCCTGGAACTGGTTCACTGCTCCTGTAAACCTGTGGCACCTGCCAGGCTCACTGGACGGAAAGCTGCCATATCACACTCTGGTGCAACGCATTTACTGCTACACAATTATCCAGGTCTCACAGAACATGAGAATAGAAGTTAAAAGGCTCTGTTCCTGGGAGTCCCAAGATGGAACTGTCCTGAATTCCCCCAACTCTGGTAGATCTCTACAAGGTTGGGAAAGCCTGAAGGAAGGATTTAGAGCAATCAGTCCCAAACAGCAGGAAAAATAATCTTCAGTCTAAAGGAATCTGCTATTATTGCTTAGATCAGTGATGGTGACTCTTTCAGAGACTGATTGCTTATTCATTGCAAAATGCCAACACTGCAATTAAACTTGAATATTGAGGTTTTAGTGTAAAAAATAATTCATACATTAATATTTTTTGTCTTAAAAGAAAGACACAATAATATACAGACCACAGTTTTCCACTACTGATCTAGATGATATTCAGGAAAGAATGTTGCTCCTTTGAAAGCAAACAGAACAAAACAAGCCTACCTATTGCTGGCTGGAGCCCAGGGTCTGACAGTATTTGTTCTTCCTCTGCAGCAGGGCTCTAACTTCCATGCGTTCTTTTTGCTTATCCACACAGGAAACCCAGAGGAGACAGTTACTCAGCAAAGACCAGAGCCCAAGAGAGTGAACGAGACTTCCTCATCCTCTCCTCCTGAGGCTCAAGGCCTGGGCCTCAGGTCTGGCTCCTATAGCCTCCCAAGGAATATCCACATTGGTGGAAACCAGAGCCTCAGGCAAAGCACCACCCAGACTAACAGCCACTTCCCTGCACGAGAGTCTGAGGGGCCCCTAGCAGAGCCCACAAAAGCAGAAGCCAGCCAGAGCAGTGAGCCACACAAGGCACCTGCCAGCCCCCGGAGGGCTAGCCTGCACCTGGACACAGAGCTCATCCCTCCACCGAAGGCTTTCCAGGACGGCTGGCTGCAGCAGGGCGGGGAAGACAGCCTGCTCAAGGGGCCAGGAGAGCAGAGCCACGCACCCCCAAAGAGAGTGGAGGTCATGTCTCTTACAGACAGCAAGAAAGGCACCCCAGAGGGCCCTGGACAACCACAGCCAACTCCTACCCGGTTGTCTCAAGATGCAAGAGCTGAAGACACTTCCCTCCTATTGGGGGATGACACAAATGGCCGTCTGGCCCCCCTCACTGCCCCAAAGCCCCGGAAGCTGCCTCCTAACATTGTCCTGAAGAGCAGCCGCAGCAGTTTCCACAGTGAGCCCCAGAGCTGGCTGTCCCGCCATGCTGAGGCTGGAGATGCCAGCGCAGCCTCCTCGTCCCTGCAGGTGCAGAGGAAAGCACGGAGAGAAGCACTGAAGAAACTGGGGCTACCCCAGGACCAAGAGGAGCCCAGCCTTTCCCTAAGCCACTCTGCCAGTTTCATCAGACACAAGAAGACCCAAGATCAGGGCCCTGCTACATTCCCAGCTCCAGCTCAGCCAGCAGCTCTTCCAGCTACAGGGCAGGCTCCAGCTCCAGCTCCAGCTCCAGCTCCAGCTCCAGCTCCAACATCCTCTCCAGGAAAGGTTTGCACTACTGCCCAGGAAGCCCCTCCAGGGCCGGCCACAGCTCACAAATCCATGCCAATTGCCATCCCTAAGACCTCAAAGGCCAATAGTCCCCCGACTAAGCCAAAGCCAGACTCAGGACTGACTCTCCAAGAGAGCAGCATCCGAGGCCTGAAACAGATGAACTTCAAGTTCAACACTCTGGAACGTTCAGGTGTCGGGCTGAGCAGCTACCTCTCAGCTGAGAAAGACCCCAGTCCCAAAACTAGCACCTCTCTAGGAAAGGACTCCGTCTTGGAGAAGGCGTCTCCCAGTGTGCTGCGCAACTCTCGGCCACGCCCTGCCTCCCTAGGTACTGGCAGGGACTTTGCAGGTATCCAGGTAGGCAGGCTGGCTGACTTGGAGCAGGGCCAGAACTCCAAGCACCTTTCCTACCAAGGACAGAGCCGTGACAAGCTACCTCGACCTCTCTGTGTCAGTGTCAAGATTTCCCCAAAAGGCGTCCCTGATGAACACAGAAGGGAGGCTCTGAGGAAGCTGGGACTGCTGAAGGACTAGCTTTGCCACAGACTAAGCCACGGGAGGGACTCTCGGGTTCCACTAAGGAGCTGTTGCCACCTCAGAGCTCAGGGCTGGATGGGGGCAGGCTTTCCTCAGATGCCCTCACCGAGGCAAAGGGAAGGAGCTACTTGCATCCAAACATATGTCCATATTCAGGGTCACTGGCCATTGAGAGCCTCTATGGACATAGCTTCACACAGCAAGGTGTGTGCATGCCTGTGTGTGACGAGTTGTATAGATTACCAACACTTTTTATGCAACACAAGGAATCTTCTCTCAGAGCTTTGCTTTTGTTGAGCTTTTCTTGCCATGGGTAGAGTTCAGCCCTCCCCAGAGCTGAGTGGAGGGAGGTGGTGAAGCTTGAGAAGAGAAGTCAGAGGACACAATGGATATGCCAGTTACTTGAAAAGTTACATTCTGTGCATCAAGGGTCTCAAGAATCAGACTGGCTCACATGCTGCACACTGTCTCAGCTCAGGCTGCCTGAACAGGGCCTAGAACCAAGAGAAGGTGGTTTATCATTTCTTTGCCCATTGCCTTCTCAGTTGCACATCCCTGTGACTAAACCTCTCTGCTCACAGATTGCACAGCAACCCCCATGGATCTGAGAAGGCCAGATAAATAACCACACTCATACCGCCACTTCTGCCTAGGGAGTCCTTGTTCATAGGCCTGATAAATTCAGTGACAAACCATGCTGCAGTCCAGGACTGACATTCCTGCTCTTCCTGTTCCTCCTGCTCTCTCACTCCTTATCTCTCTCCCTGACTTGAAGCTGGTCAGCTCTGAGGTGGAAGTGCCATTCCAGAAGCTTTACAAGGACCACAGAACCGTTTTAGACCTTACATGTGTGATTGCAGCTAGTTTCAAAAGTCCTCAGTTCCCATCCTAGAATATCAACACAATGCTTAGAATATCAGTGCTCAGAGGAATCGGGAAAGCTCACATCCAGCCTTACTGGGGAGGGTAAGCAACTCACCAAGGCTATTCTGCTGTTTAGTAACAGCAGAGGTGGGAACCCAGGCTCCCAACTGCCATGTGGCCCTGCCTCCCTTCCCCCAAACTCTCGCCCATCCATGCAGACCTTAAAAGGCCATGGTCACTGTCCATTACTCAGCCCTGAGGCTCTTTGACATCAAGTGTCTTCTGAAACATCAAAGATTAAATGCTCAGGATAATATTCAGATTGTGATTTTTTAAAATTTTATCTTCAGAAAGTGACTATATAATAACTCATTCTAACCAGAACACCTCTCTGCCACGTTGCCTGACCAAGCTGTACAACTTGAGCAAACACCAAAAGAGGGTCGTGGGAGTAGGTGGTGTGGGCTTATGAAAGCAAACCTGGTGATTAGACATGGTTACACATGACCCCCACTTCCCCTTGGGAAATATATCTTATTCATGGCTTTGACTGGGTTGGAGTCCAGAATATCCAGACATAAGGGACAGATAAAACAACTGTTGGAAAGTGGCCTTCATGTCTTTGAAGCATTTCTGGGCCTTTGCTTTATGGACTCATCACCACTAAAGTTCAAGATTGCTGAAAATGATGAGAGTTAGGGTAAGGGTGACAAATAGCTCCTCCCTGCCATGGCATGTGCTATGTGGGTGTGACAGTTTCTATGTACACTCCACACACACTCACACCCAGAAGCCTGCTGCCACATTCCTGGCTCTGGGGGAGGACCCAGTCTGTCATGGCCAAAGGAGTCTCCTACACTGGCAAAGCTGTACATTACTACAGGCTCCCAAAAGAGAGAAGGCCACTTTTGGAGGACCGATTCAGCATGCTGTATTAGGAGAGCTGCCTTCTCACTGTCAAGATACAATCTGGTTCCTTATGTGTTAATATCATGTCAAGATACAACCTGGTTCATTATGTGTTAATTGCACTGATGAAAAGGAAACAAGAGACTTGCTGTCAACTGAGATATGGTAGGAATCTGGAGCTGGCAAAACACACAGCTGACCAGTGCTGGTTGGTCAGGATGCTACCTGCTACTGAGGCTGGAAGTTTATCTCCCAGGCAAACCAGACCTCTACATAGCCTGCCCCTGCCCATCTGCATCTTTACCCCAGTAATGCGCATGTCCCCTACTCTCTTACTTTGAAAGACTCTCTTTTGTTTTTATTTAAAGATAACTACCATGCATCTCTAAGGCCTTATGCTTGAAGAATATATACTACATTAAGGCAGATCTTAGGGATTCAAGAATAGCTAATAAACCAAACTGAGACATCGTCATTTTAGAGAGGTCAAGGAGACCCCAGTGAGGACATCCACTCCCTACCATGTGATGCTAAACCCACTAGAGGTCTTCTGATCTGTCCTACTATATCCCTACAGGATCTCTCTTCACTCAGCTTGAGCTGGTTTGGGGGAAGTGAAATTAGGATGAAGGCTGCTGTTCTTAAAGGACTTTAGATGGAAATGTGTAAAGATCATGTGTTTAATTTTAAAAGCCAAAGTGACAGTTCTTCCACTTGACCTTGGATCTCTGCTATACCCTGCCATAATCTTGTTGGTGCTGGACACAAAGCATCTGCCAAATTTCAGCACTGGCCTCTCCCCAGCCTGGCACAGTGGTGTCTGTGTCCTCAGGTGTGTTAGCAGATACTCCTGAGTCACCACTCGTGCTGCCCTGGCAGCTCTGACTCTGACTCTGACTCTGACTCCAGGGTAGCAGAGCAGACCGATGTGTCATCTCACACTGAAGTCAGGGGACAGGTTGACTCAACTCTCACCTCTGCCTGCAACAGGAAATGTGGTCCTGCCATGGGTAGGTCTGGAAACACTGGTGTTTGTTTCATGGAAGGAAGGCTCCGCGCAAGACAAGAGAGCAGGAGCCAGCTGATGCTCTGGCTTGGAGCTGAAAGTGAAGGGTGAAGAATCCACAGGACCTGTGGTGTGTGAGATGAGCTCCTCTCTCCCTTCTATGGGTCCATTCCTGCCTGTGTGGGCAGAGAAAGGTCCCACCATCAGCCTGTGAAGCTGTGTTCATAGACTAGCAGAACTGGGGAACAAGGGGATGAACAGAAGGAATTGTGCCCGTCTCGGTCAGAACCTGAAGAGGAATGCAGATGCAATGATTCTGTATTCTCTTCCTCATGGGAGTGACCATGGAGCATTTCAGTCTAGGCTTATATTCAAATTCCATTGACAGGATACCCTGAAGAAAACCTTTAACTTGTTGACCCTTAGAGTTCTCCTTGTAAATGGGGGAAATACCACCACCCTTTCACAATTTTGGGGATACGTAAGTGATATTCAATATGTAAAGCTCAGTACTTGGTACAGGGATCTGCATCCTTTCTCAAAGGGATCAGATATGGAGATATGGAAACCAAAGTTCACTAACTGCTGAGAGGGAATAGAAGAGAGGCTCTTTATTTTGAAGGTCCAAAGTACCAACCCGTCTTTGGAGGGCACACCCTCCAGTGACTCAACTTCCCCCACACCAGGTGGGTGTCTTGGAATTTGAAAAGAAAGTAGCATGAATCAGGTGTGTGCCTTGATGAGGCTGAACCTGCTGTTTTCAACTTCTGAATCCTCAAACTCAGATTCCCCTTGGGTGCTGCTTTCATGTTGCTTGTGGCCATATGTTTTATTTCTTTATGCTTCCTGACTTCCTATTTATTGTTTTATAGTTATTTTTAAGAAGGAAGGGGGAAATCTTATGTAACAGGAGAGAACTGGCTGAAATTAGAAAGAGAAGCTGAGAAGTTTTTAAAATTCCTGGAGCGTTTTTAAAAAATAGAGCAGGCCTCTTTTTGGAATGAACCAGGAATTAGTTATGAGGGGGCAATTGCATAAGCCCTCAAAATACTCGATTGCAGGGATACCATGAACTGCAGGAGTCATCACCAGTGTCATAGTCACCCCTAGCACTAGGACGCAAATGACTTAAAAATAGGTGACATTCTAACTTCAGGTTGCCATTCTTCTTTCTCATTGCCACCTAGCTAAAGCATTGTCCTTATTACCTCCTGCCATGTATTCAGAGTTCAGTGTAATATAAAACACACTGGGACAGGGAGCCTTAGCGGTTCGCTTCATTGCACTAATAACAGACATGACTTGGATTCAACAATGTCCCAGCATGACAGCCCAGAAATGAATGTTGCATTAAGTTCAAAAAGTTAACTCTTTTTGGTAGATTCTTCTAAAAAGAACAAACAAACCTAAATTATAACATGCTAGAGCCCTCTAAAATAAGTCAAAAATAATACTCCTTGCAGTTTTTATGAGAATAGAGTCAAATAAGATAATATATATATATAAACATTTAGCACACAGCTCAGTAAATGGTATCTTTTAACTTATTATCACATATATCTGTACTTTAGATGTCAGTGGCACCCTGAGCACTGGATCAACTGTAGTCCCTTTGTGGATTCCTCAGGTTAAAACTAAGTGCTCTTCTGATCATTAGAACCTCCTGCAGCCGCGCTCCCCAAAGTTCTGTCCTGCCATCAGCTCTTCTTACTCTTCCTCCTCACAATTACTCCAGAGTCAAAGCCCAGGCCTCTGTTGGGTCCCAGGAAAATCAAATGCTGTGAAGTATTCTGTTTCCTGGGGTTTTTTGGGTTTTTGTTTTTTCAGAAGATGAGTTGAGTAGTGTCAAAGCCCTGATCCTAACCATACATCCATCCCCCTCTCTTTTTCCTTCCCAACTTGTAGAACACCTAGAAAACCCACCTCTCCATCCACACTTGGGGCCCTTCATGACCTAAGCATTAACCCAAGAGACTTTTCAAAAAGCTCCTCACACAGGAACAGAGGAGACTTGTTGGAATCTTCTGTCCTTAGCTGCATGACTGAAGGGATGGGGGCTGCCTTGGGAGACCCCTTATAGTATTCACTTTTTCCAATGGACCCACACCGCCCTATTCTCAAGGGCTGAGGCACACTCCACGAAGGCCTCCTTTGGATTAATTCCTTGCACTGTCAGCTGCTTCGATACAAGCAGACCTCCTCCCTTTGGGACTCTCCTGCCCCAACCCTTCAGGCAGGGGTGCCCATGCATCTGGAAAGTTCCCTTAGATTGTAGTGGTTAAAGGAGGTATCATGTGGCCATGGTTATGACATTACTGATGCTTTTGGGCGACTTGTGCAATTCTAGCCTCACTGTCTCCATTCCTCCTCTGCCTCAGGAGTTAGGGACCTTCCAGTCCTTCCAATCTGCTAGCTGGGGAGGATTATCCCAGTTCTCCTCCCCACACTGGCTGCTGGCTTCAGTTCCTGGCCTCCTGTGGGAAGAGGTCCATGTCACTGCCATGGCTCTGTGGTAGCTCCTCTTGTTCTCCCTCCTCACAGGGATGGAATGTTTCCCTACCCCCGACTGCTGAACTTTCCTTTTCAGAGGTAGCTGTCCAGATGACCCAGTAGAGCTCTTCACTTGGGAAGTTTCCTGCCAGAACACTACTCTTTGCTCCATGCTACAGCTGTCTACTCCATGTCTGAAAGAGACTGAGGCTCATCAGCCCCAAAAAAGAACCATGGGGTCCATGGGACCCCTTAACAGTAGGATGCATCCCTATCATCAGTCACTAGTACCCTAATGGCCATTGCCCTGTCCTCTCCATGGCTCACCAAAGTAGTCAGTCCACCAAGGCAGGCAAAGGTTGCCTCTAGGCATTTCTCACACCTGTCCTTTCCTCTCCCTCCCCTCTCTCCCCATCCTCTGTCCCCCTCCAAAAACCAAACAAATGCCCATAGTGTGTGTTTAAGGAGATGGGGAATTAAAAATGGAATACACACAATAATAAATTACCCTGTGTTAAGAATGAATGCTTGTCAACAAACCAAGGGGATAAAGAAGAAAAGAGCTTTTTAAATAATTCTAGAAGTATATATTTTGGCTAAGTGCCTGATAAAATAAAAAGCATAGATTCTATTTGTTCTAAGTGTGTTTTTACACTTATGAGTTAACAATTATAAAACTATTTTTGGTGTATTTGAGAAGTGAGCAAATAACAACTATCTTATGAATAAAAAAGCTGCATTTCTTAGTATGGGAGAAGACAGTTACAAATTCAAAATGGAGACTGTGATTCTGAATTGGAATTGGAACTCCATGTGAATTCATAGTGAGACAGGTAGAAAAAAGGCAGATGGACAGAGGGACACAGACAAAGATAAGTGTGCCTGTGCCTATCTTTCCAAACTCCATCCCC